CTGCCGCTTACTTATTAATAATGGAATTACTGCTTACAATAAATGACCGCTGAAACAGTAATTATTTCCTCATTCTAAAATTCCAGACTCGCGATGTTCGGCTCATGATCAAATCATTCCAGACATTCCCCAGTTATATCCACGCCAATCCGAAAAGGCGCACACGCTAAGAAGCTCAAATTAATTATGCCAGCTGATAACAAAGATTCGCCCAAACGACAGTAAGCCAAGAATGAAACGAATGCCCACCTTCTGCATTCTGCTGCATAGCACCAAACGGATTACGGAGTGCTGAGCTCACCGCATCGCTTGGCTGCTGTTGTTGTTGTTGTTGCTGCTGCTGCTGCACAGCGCTCAGGCCAATGCCTGCGACCTCATCCCCGCTTTCACTGCTTTCGTTACTTTTGGCACCCCATGCGCCCAGGCCCACCGAGCTTTCTTCCAGCTCAACCTGGGAAGCCGGAGCCCACTGCGTCTGACCGTGTGCTGCATCTTGTCTCTCTTCGTCCACTACGCCCCACTGTGAAGGAACCGTTGAATCCGAGGCTCCCGCCAAAAATGGATTGAATCCAACTGCAGACATTTGATTATGAAGCAAAAATAGGACTGCTTGAGGAAATGAGATCGAAAGCTACCAAAAGCAGTCGCCGACAAATCAATATCTAGCAAGATACAAAAGCAAGACACGAAGACAATAACATCACAATATCTAGCAAAATACAAAGAGAGTAACATCATTTTACAACATGAAAATATCACTTCACAGCACCAACGAAAAAAGTATTTGGTACAATTAAGCCTAAAAATAATTCAACAATGGGAAGCAGCTGGGAAGGTGCAAGACAAAACAAAATACATTTGTACTACCTCAACCTTCCTATTTTCTCTCTAAACGTCCCCTGCTTTCTTTTCTTGACGGCCCAGCTTCCCCATTCCAGTTTTCCCTTCTCAAAAAAAAAACCAAAAAAAGAAAATGAAACAGTGCAGAAAGCAATTCACATCAACAACAATAAAAGTGTACTGATGAAATGTTCAAAAAAAAAGTGATGCAAGCAATCAAAGACAACCAAAGAAAACTTAGGGAACAAAAGCAACTTAAG